GTGTTGTCATCGGCTACTATCGAACCTAAGAAAGCACTGGTGAGAGCAGCTTAACTCTTCAGCCATGCCTGCCATGCGGCATTGAATTTTGCATTACGCTTGCCACCGTGCTCCGTGAGGTACTTGTCTGCCTCCTTGTTGCCATTGTACCATGCAACATCCCGAGCTGTCCACCCGCCCTTGCTCGTTTTGGGGCTCTTTTCATTGACCTCCGCATTGACGTCCGCGCCGCCCGCCACCAGCAACTTCATGACTTCCAAGCGCTCTTTCCAATATTTGCTCCCAGCCCATTCGGACTCTGGGGGTGGGCAATCGACTGCAATATGCAGCGGCGTATAGCCAAACTCGGATCTGACTTCGGTGTCCCATCCAGCAGCCAAAAGGATCTGAGTCAAGTGAGGGTAGCCGATGTCAGCTGCATCGGCCAGAGCTTGGTGTTTGTAGTGGCCTGCCCTGGATCCACCGTTGCAAGCGAGGAGCACGATAGCATCTTCGTTCTTTGCCATATCCCTTGGCGTGAAGGGTGTGGGGCCTTTCTCAGTGCACTTTGCATTGACATCCGCGCCCGCACTCACGAGGGCTTGCATGGCGGCTAGTTCGCCCAAGGCGGATGACAGGTGGAGCATGTTGTAGTCATCAAGGTCTAAATTCCAGAAAACCTCCACCACATTGGCAAGGACTGAGGTTTTCAACTCCTCTTCGGTGAAGGATTTCTTCAACTTGGGCAAAGTCATGCCAGTCGCCGCAGCAGCCACCACAGTCTTCGTGGTAGCCTCCACACCATCCTGATGGATCACATGTTGAATCTCCACCTCAGCAGCCTGACCATTGACAACACGATGGCCACAGGCCGGAACAAGCCATAGGGCCACACAAACGACGCCAAGCACGGACATGGCGTCACAACACAGATAGCAAACAACGGAGGACTCAGCTAAGTCGTTTTCTTGACCAAAGAGCCTCGGACATCAAAATTTACAGGACTCTCATGACTCATGCATAAATCCTTCTCGAAGAATCATCAAGGATCCAAC